GTGAGCCCCTGGGGAAAAGGTGTAATGTTCAACGTAGCTTAGGAGTTCTCCAAATGTCACTCTCGGCTAATCACTATTTCTCACCCTACACACTTCAAAATATAGGGAAAAAGGGTGATGTACATGACTCCGGTGACTCTGCTGGAAAGGGGATGTAAAAATCTAATAAAGACTCACAAAGGGTTTGTTTGTTTAGAAGGAAAAAGGATTCTCACACCCTCAGTTCAGCAAGTATGGAGGAAAGAGTAGTTCACTAAATAAGTAGGGACCTGCTGAATAGCAACCCAAATCGGAAACCAGTTAGAGAGCAGCTCCTGGAAATATGGGAACACAGAGAACCTGTTGCTCCAGTCACCTGCATGGATGTAATCAAACCCAACGCTCTTCCTCCTTCCCAGTCTCCTGGCGCACCATTTTCCAACTGTCTCTCTTGGCTACTGTGTAAAGCAGGTCTAGAACTGTGACAAAAAGCCATTTGCCACAGTTTCACACAATGACTGGGGCCCCTCACAAGTGGTGAGATACACAAGGTAAAAAGAAAACAAACAAATACAGGAGAAGATGTTTAAAGAAATGTACAAACAAATGAGACGGGGAATGAAAAGTGGTGCAAAATCAGGATGGCTGGGTATTAGTTCCATGTGGATGTCGCCCAAACATCTGTGGAAGGAGAGGAAGACCAGGTTGGTGGCTTGTTCTCATGCATGTGGCAATGGCTGTAGGAGGTTACTGATGTTAGTTTTCCTAGCAATCCCTTGCTTCAAAGTTTCTCTCGAGAAGGCCCACAAATCAAAGCGGATGAAACACCCACAGGCTTGGTGTTTTTGTGTGTGGTTGTTTTTTTTGGTTTGTTTGTTTTTTAAGTTTTCTTTGTCTTCTGGGAAGCAGAAACACAGGGGTCGCCCTCTGTCCATCTTGGAACAGTGCGCAGGGGGGTGTTAAAACGAAACTGCAAGAGTTGCTCTAGGAAATCGATTCCTTCCACGCTGCTGTCAGTTCTGAACGTGAAAGCCAAACACTTTCTCCTGCTTTGAGGGGTCAAATCATTTGCTTCCATAGTTTTGAGAAAGCCGCCAGGTGAAAGTGCAAGGGAGAAATGACCCCCATGCAGGTTTAGAAGCCTTTCCAGCTTGCAAAAAGAGAGGTTACTTACCGTAACTCTGGTTCTTCCAGTGGTCATCTGTGAATTCACACTAATGGGTTTTATCTGCGCCTGCGCAGAGGTTTCTGGAATCTTCTAGAGCTTAACACTGTTCACTAGGACCACCCCCCCCAGTACACGTGGTCTGCCCATCCTGGCAAGAGCTTCCGTTTCCACAAAGTCCACCACTGTATAAAGGTTTTGATGTGACGGAAAGAGGGGAGGATGGTTGGGAAGTGTGAATTCACAGATGACCACTCGAAGAACCAGAGTTACAGTAAGTAACCTCTCTTTCTTCTTCGTGGTCCCTGTGAATCCACACTAATGGGTGATTAGCAAACTTACCCGTCCGGAGGAGGGACGTCATGGAAGAACAGCTGACAAAACCGCTCATCCAAACGTCGCATCTGACTTTGCCTGTAGATCCAAACAGTCATGCGAGGCAAAGGTGGACAGTGTGGACTATGTGGCAGCTCTGCAGATAGGGATATGGCTGATGTTATTGATAGCACTGTGGTTTGCAGTATGGTTGTGTATTATAAGATCTTGCAGTTTTTCTCATTTTCTGTAGGTTATCAAGAATTTCATCCGTCTTGGTATCAAAGAGGCCGACCCCATCAACGGGTAAGTCTTCAATATGCATGCAGGAATCATCAGAAATATGCGCAGAGCGTAACCAGGCATGCCTTCTAAGGGCGACAGTGGTGGCCATGTGCCTTGAGGCCGCCCCTACGATCTGTCTAGCTGTGATGCGCTCTTGGCAAACTTGAGGCCGCCCCTACGATCTGTCTAGCTATGATGCGCTCTTGGCAAGCTAAAGCCACTGCTTCCTGATGAAAATCCAGATCTCTTGGGTTTGTATTCACCCTGTGCTGATTGGAATGAGGGGAGTGCCTTGTTTAATGCTGCAGTTTGCACAGGTTTTGAGTTGGATGCTGATTGGAGTGAAGGGAGTGCCTTGTTTAATGCGCACAGGTTTTGACTTGGTAACTTTCCATTTGGTAAGTGAGGTTAGAGGAGCAGTACGTTGAGCCTTCAAGTGGTGAGAACGATGAGACTGTGTAACCTAGTGTGGTATCGGGGAAGGCCCAATATGAGTGAAGTGGTGAGAACGATGAGACTGTGTAACCTGGTGTGGTATCGGGGAAGGCCCAGTATGAGTGGTAGTAGCCTGTACTAATGATGTGGCCTCCTGCAGTACCGGAGGCGTTGCTGATGGTTTAGAATGCTTCGGTATCAGTGTTGAAACAGGTCCTGTGCCAAGACCTGTTTCCTTTTGCGAGATGATATATGGTGCTTCGGTTCCGTTCCTTTTGTGAGACGATTTATGGTGCTTCGGTTCCAGGGAGTCATCAGAAGGGTAATGCTGATATTGAGGACAGTACCGAAACGAGTCAGAATCAGAATCTGAGTAATAATAAGAGCACTGAGGTCATTTAGGTTCAACATAAACTTCCATATCAGGATGTCCCTAGCGGTATCGATGGTGTCGATATTGTGATGATGGCATTTGATAATAAGTGGGTGGCTCATATAAAGTAACCCTTTTAGGACGACGGTATTGCATAAGAGAATCATGCGATGCGAGAAGTCCTGTCGATCAACCGAGGGTGAGGGGCATCGACATCAAAGTGCCCCGTCTTCGGTGTATGCTGTGTCTTCCTGGACCACTTGTGTGGTGGTTGCAGATCAGGCAAAGAGGATGCTGAATCCAACTGACACATGGAGACAGAGCAACCCGCAGGGCTCGATAGGTCATATTTTGGAAGCACGGTAACATCAACCAAAGTATTGGCCCAAGACGGGGACTGTGCCAACAGAGATGATAGTGGTTGTAACAATGGTAGAGGTAGATAATCGTCATCGTCCACTGAAATGTAATCAAAGCAGATAGTCTGCCGTTCATGAAGTGGTACCGAATAGACCGTGCAGCAGAAGATGACTTTTTGGCTTTCTTCGGTTTTGGCTGCTGTTCCGGTACCGAGGGAGATTTCGGTACCAGTGTAGATTTGGGTGTGGAACCACCAGACTTAGCCTTGGCAGGCAGTTTTGCCTTGGATTTGGACTTTACTGAGGCCACAGAAGCGTCCGGAGACGTTAACGGAGGTGGTGGTGGCTGTACGGATTCCATATTCGGTGAAGGGCGAAGAGAACGTTCCCACAAGTAAGAACAGTGATGCTACTGTCTTAATTTTAAAGCGTGCCTAATAAACTTCTTGCAAATAGGGCAAGAAGCTGGCTGGTGGGCCTCACCGAGGCAGAAGAGACAAGAGTCGTAGCCGTTGGTCAGAGGAACTTTACTGGGCACAAAGTGCACCTTTGAAAGGTACCGAGGCAGAAGAGACAAGAGTCGTAGCCATTGGTCAGAGGAACGAACTTTACTGGGCACGAAGTGCACCTTTGAAAGGCCCAGAGGAGGCCATAAACTATAAAAAATGGATAAGAAGAATGAAAACAGGGGAAAAGCGGGGGCGGTGGAGAGGAGAAAAAGCGCAAAGTCTCTCGCAAATTCCTTTTGAAGGCAATAGCAAATGGAGCTTGACGAAGAGAAGAAACCTCAATTCTGGCAAAAAGGAACGGAGGCGCTTGCCAGGATGGGCGGACCACGTGTACTAGCGGGGCGGTCCTTGCGAACAGTGTTAAGCTCTAGAAGATTCTGGAAACCTCTGCGCAGGCGCAGATAAAACCCATTAGTGTGCATCCACAGAAACCACGAAGAAGAACAAGGACTCTATCGGGTACGTAGGAAACTCCGGACACAGCAACTTTCTCTCTACCATATGAATGTTTCTCTCATGCAACCATCTTTTGAATCATTTGCGAAGTGGTGAGGGGTTGATATTTTTCTCCCTGCTCTGACTCATACTTATCAATTAACACTATCTTAAGAAAATAACTGACAGCTGACATCTATGGCTGGTTGATGAGTAGCCAGAGAGAGGAAGGGAGATGGACAAAAGCTGTCATCTAGACTGGCAGCCCTGAGTATCCTCTGCCCTTTCTCCTCCCAATCCTAGCACCTCATCATGGAGGGCGAGGCAGTGGGATGGGGTGCTGTTCCATTATGAGAAGAAGCGGGGAAGACCTGACCAAGGGAAGGCTGCTGTTTTGAAGAGCAAGATCCGTCTGTTTCATTGAAGATCAAACCACTTTCTCAGAGATCAGCGGTTCGAGTTACTCATCCCAAGGCCTCATCGAAGAAGAGAGGACACCAGGATGGGGTCAGAGGAGCAACTGTTCCAACTGCCCTAAAGCTCCACCAGTGGTCTTGCCACAGGTAACTAACAGTACGACTGGCAAGACGAATTTATGATGAGAACGCAAATATTCTAGCCTGTCCCTACCAGCTACATTTGGTGTCTCCCCAACTCCTACCAGGACTGAATCCTACTTGATGCAACCTGGGTTAATCCCAAGTGTTCACTCAAAAGGAATTCTTCTTCCTTCCTGTACGGCCTATATGACACCTGTGTCTGCCAGTGCTTGCAAGTTCTCATTTAGCGTATACAGAAAGCATCTGATAGACGTATACCTAAACATGTCACGTGTCACTAAAGCCACTCGTATCAGTGGAAGCAAACCATTCAACCCATGTCCTCTGTCTGCCATGCTATCTTGCCAGCTCAATAAAGGGACAGCATGATGGACTTTAGTTGGTTTTGCATGCAGATAGAGTATGTTGAACAAAGCTCTGAAAAAAATAACAAAAAGTTATAGAAGCAAAATTTTGAAAGATGGAAATTTAGGGGGTTCCTGAATGGAAAGTGTATTTTAAATTTTGTTTTGTGCATCTTGTGCAGAGTGTGTTAACCAATCAGTACAAAGGTGTGTCGCATTGTTGTTGCTGTTTAATGTTTACCTTCTGTTCACCAGCGTGGACGACATCATCAGCACCATGCAAGCCACATGACAAAGTCACATGATACGCACGCACATGATTTGGTTGAAAGGAAAGTGGAGGAGGTCACATGGAAAATACAAAAAAAATTAAAAAACTGATGTAAACAATGGGCAAAAAGAATCAACAACATTCACAGATTAAATTAAACAAAATTAAATTAGCCACTCTACTGAAACATCAGGGGAGAAAGGGGAAAACAAAACAAAACCAGCCTGCAAATGAAAAAAGTTTGTTATTAAAGGAGCGGAAGGTCAAAGTACTACAGCAAAAGGTTTGGTTGGTTAGGAAGAGCCTTGGGGTTGCCTACTAATTACTACCAGGTCTGGAAGAAGAGATTAAACAAACCCCCAAGCAAAAATGTTATTGGAACAAAGAAGACTTTCTCTTAAAAACTGCACAATTGATGGCATCCACAATACATAGCAAAGCAAAAGGAAGGTGGGAAAGATGTGTTATCAGGAAACAGTTCGCTCATCCATTGGACGGCTACAGAAAGAAAAGGCCTCCCTTCTAGATTGACTGCTAATGGATCTGGTCTCCAGCCGATGAATTCTCCAGCCTGTAGGGATACAAAAACAAAGCAAAGCAAAGCAAGCAAACAAACCCTGCCCACACCTCGTAAGAAGGGAGGAAAACAGAGCGAAAGTAGCCTTTGCCTGAAGAGCAGCACCCTGGATCCGGTCACGTAGGCACGGCGGAATAAATGCAGGTTGCTTAGGAACACTGCACGCTCGGGCAACGTCTGGGTCTCCAGCACAAACGGGCCCAGGATCAATGGAAACACCAGAAATTGGTGGGCGGGAGCGAGCAAGGATGAACCGAGCCGAAAATGGCTAAGTGGCCCCTTCAACATACGGAAAAGTTGATAAGCCACCATGGGTCCCATGGCAGCAAAAGGCTTCCAAGACCTTGGTGGAACAGAGCATTCAGCCCCGGCCCATTCACAAGGCTGTTTTGCAGCATCGCACAGGACTGAGCACTTCTGTTCCGACTCGATGCTGGGCGTGCATCGTCTGTCTGGGTCAGCTGAGATCATGAAGGAAAGCTTTGCAGCTTCCTGGGATGTGCGGGACGGCTACGCAAGGCCAGCATCTTGCAGGGTGTCATCCAGACTTTTTCAACAGTAACGGTCAGGGACCTGCCTGCACTGCTGTCTGGAGTATTACATTCATGGAGGAGAGTGACTCTGCACCCACGTTGGCTGATCACTGCCTCCTACTGACAGGCAGGACAATTTCTGGGGCTGGGCGGGTTGGGGGGGGCATCATCAGGTTGTTTACAGCTGAAGCAGGCATTTGCTTGATAATGCACAATATGACTACTTCTCTTCTCTCCTCCCCCCCCCTTGACCCAACTAGAGGCCATCTGTGTGCATGCGAGTGTGCTTTCAAGTCCAGCTGAAGGGGAAAGGGTTTAGATCTGCATGGCATCCGGGACAGGAATCATGACCACTTCTCTTCAGTTACATGAAGTCTTGGGGAAAGGAGAAGAAGCTACAATTTGATGAAATTAGAGGTGGGGGGGGAGGGGAGAGAAGTGTTCTTTAATGGACCGAACGGGACGAACGTGTGGGTCTGAACGTGAAGCCTTTTCATTAGATGCTCAAGGAGGAATCTGTGCATACCAAAAAGAGGGGAAATTATTTTACAAGAGTAAGTGGGAAAAAGTGGGGGCAGGGAGGGCCTGATCTACTGGCAGCCGATATTCAACACCCATTGAGGAGCTTTCTTTGCCACAAAGCAGAGACACCACAATGAAGGGCAGAAAAAGTTAGAGAGGAAATCCAGACCTTGTTTTCCCATTGTGTACTTCTCTCCGGCCCCCACTCTAATAAAAAAAAATGGACCAGGTTGTTTCCGAGAACAGATGATTAGGATAAGGGCACCTGTATGTGTTCATATACCATCAGCCTGATGCATATTTACGCTCCGCAGGCATTTAAAGAAAGAAGTTGTGGCGGGGAAGACAGAATGTCAACAACCATCACAGCCACCTATGTTCGATATTAATGCAGCTTTTGTAACGCTAGCACAGCATTTGAGCGGGCTTAATGGAAATGGAAAAGGTGAGACAGAGGCGCTGTTTGATGTCCTCTCCTTCGACAAGCCATTAAAGGCGGCTCTTCAAGACGGGAAGCCATGCGTATTCATGGAGATCTGACATTATCTGCCTGCCTCTCCATCACCTCTTGTTCCTGTTTCTTTGTGAAAGAATAATACCTGTGCTAAAGAAGCAATAATACAGATAGACTCGGAATTGCAGGCAGGCCCACATGACTTATTTTGAAAAGGCTCCTACTTCCTCCCTTGGTGTGGCTAGACCTTTTTAATGGATCCCAGCAGATGCTACTGTGAAGCAGCACCTCAGGCAGCTTCTTGGGGACACGATGCTTCACGGGGTTCTAGCTCATCCATTGTTGGGCATGGGAAGGGCAGACGTAGAGGGATAAAATGGAAGCGAGAAATACCCAAAGGCTTCGGTTCCACTTCAGAAGAGGCAGAGAGGGGCTGGCACAAATCCTTCTTGGCTCTGCGCTGTGAGAGGGCAAGGGAAAGAGCCGTGGGCACCCACTGTAGCACCAGATTGAGGGGAGGGGGTGTCTAGACAGTCCCCATAGCACCCCCGGGGCTCTTTACAAGTGGCAAAGCAGACAGGGTGGCCCTCACTGCTCTGCATTGCCCACCAGAGAATGGTTCCAAGGAATTCATAACTTCATTATGAAACGATACCCCTAGCTGCCTTGTATCTATAATATATGTTTATTGGTTTTATTGGTTTTAAATTTGTAAACCGTCCAGAGTAGACCTTTGGGCGGGATTGAAATCCAATAAATAAGTAAATAATAGCCTCTTCCCAGAAAATCTCTATCTCAAATAGCCCAAGGCTTAGTTTTGAAATAATAAGCTGGTTTTCAAAAGTATAAAACGGTGCAAGAGGGTTGCTGAAACCCATGTGGAAGGCGGATCCTGCGCCACACCTACGGCAGAGGCCAAATGTCTGACAAACCCCGAACGCACCCCAGCTGTCACTTACAAAACTGTCCTGGAATGACTCACAATTTTGTTTATAAAATGCTATAACCTTAGTGAGTTAGAAAAGAATAAAATGCACAGAAACAAATAAGAATTACTTTCGTGATGAGATTGTAGAACATGAACAATAGAAACTTCGACGCTCCTGAGGATGTGCCTCCCTCCCTCCCTCTCTAGCATTAATAATTCCCAAACTAGCTGAAAATTCTCTTATCCCAAACCTCTAGAGAATCTAGTTAAGGAAACTTTTAGCCCATATACGGGTATTTCAGCAGTAGGAGGAACTGCATGCCTAGGATTTTGACATCTCATTTTAATTACTGATATTAACACCAAATGGGAGTCTAAGCTAGCCCAAATCCCCATGGAGCGCTGGTAGTAAAAATGAAGTCAGCGAGGCCAATAATGGTCTGCCAATCTTTGTTCGGAAAAAGTGGCTGGCCAATCAGTATCAACTCCTCCCGATCGAGTTGCAAGTGAAAGTCCTGCAAACTTCCTTGTAAGGCACTGTTTTTAAGGATCGGGAGTGTTTTGAGGGCGTGAGATCATCTGGCGACCGTTTCTTCTTTGCTTTTTGGCAACCATCAAAGGGAGAGCACGTTTCCTTCCGGCCCTGTCTCCCCCTCTCATAGGAAAGAGCAAACCTGCATTTTTTTTTACTTGCTTCAAAATGAGTGAGGCAACTGGAACTCTGCTCTCTCTGGTAGGTAACAAGGCATTCCAGGAGGCGATAGGCTGGTTGACCCTCAGCTCCAGTGACAGAGGGAATACGCCTCTTCTCTTCCTTGCCAGGAAGGAGAAGGGATGGGGGGGGGGACACACCAATCCATGCAGATTGTTAAAGTTCCAGGTTCCTCCAAAACCCACTGTGCCCCTGAAGACACACACAGAGAGGCAAACTCCCCCTGAACAGAACCCCAAGCACGAGGAGGAGGGTAACTCCGTGACCCATGCACACAGCGTGCACACCTCAAGGCCAGTCCTCATCAGGAAAGGGGTTTGTAATAGGAATGCCCTTCACCCCATGCAAGCCGCCGTCAGAACTTGGAAATGTTAACTCTTTGGGACTATAACTCCCAGAATCCCAAGGCGCACAGTACCTGATGCATGGAATCTGGGAGCTGTAGTTTTTAAAAAGTAACTTTTCCAAGATCTCCCTACTACTACACATGAAGTATGTTGTGGCTGGTTCAGTCATTTGCTTTTCTTTGTTCATTTGTCATTTTTCCACTCCCTGCTCCTGCCACTCCCTGCGGTCAGGTTTTCTCCTCTCACTCATCTGGGTCTGGGAGGCTCATTTAGGAACCAAGCAACCCAAATTTCTGCCAGCAACTGCTCTGGTGTTCAAATCTCTGCTTGTGATTTAGGGGAGGGGACATCTAACTCCCCTGGTGAAATTCACAGACTCTGAGAGCGCTTCTTTGAAGCACCCTTGCTTGTCTTGAGCTCTGTCAGCATAGATTGACCCTGCCATGAATGGGGGGAGTCAACATGGGCTAAGTCCAAGGTAAGGAGCAAGCACTAGTTTTAAGGAACCCTCAAGAAGTAAATATTAATGAAGAATTGGATGTACCTGCAGGAAAAATGGTACAATGTGGAGAACTGCTGGTCGTTGGTGGCTATTACTCTTCCCATCTACTTCACTCGTGCTCTCTCCCCATTTTCCATCATCCTCTGCCACTTCCAACACTCAAAGCAGTCAACACTCCCTGGAGGAGTGAACACTCATGTCCACTCCTCAGGCTCAGCTTTGTGGATTCCCCACCAGGATTCTTGGGCATGAGGGATACCTTGCCACTTGGGCCCATGGATGATGGTCCTAAGGTTTTCACATCCTCAAATTAAAATCGGCTAGAATTTGCACTTGGTTAATCGCACACAAGGCTGTTTCAGGCTGGCTGCATCCAACAAGATTCAGATGTTTAAACCTTGCTGGGCACTTGGTGGCAGTGGGAATTCCCCAGATTCATCCTGGCCTATTGTAAACATACCTAATCTAGTTTTTTGATGTTTGCACTGGTCACAAAGACCAACAAGATGCTTCTAAAGAAGGGAGGAGGGAGAGACATGCAAAGAAGCTGGTGGGAAGAAGGAGTAGTTCTAGAGAGCAGCTCATCGGTCTGGTGGAAGACATGTGCTTCCTAACCTTGTTTAAAATGACCCTGGCGAAGACAACAGACCATTCCTTCACAACTCAAGGCCAAGTCATGCAGGGATAAGAGAAGGCAGGACCAGCACCTTTTTCTCAACTCAAAACACATCCATCCATGCCAGATTTTACCAAGGGGACTAAAACACCCAGTAAGGTGCAGCATACGCAACACCCTCAAGTCAAGTCCTGTGACACACGACAGACCACTCGGAAAAGGTGTTAATGAGGCAGAGGGCGAGGTAGGAGAGAGGAAGCAGAGGGCTGGGTGGAGAGGAAGGGATGGAGGGAAAAGCCTTCCTGCTACTCACGGGTGGGCTCTGTGTTTTCAGATTCAGTGGGATGCTGGGTTGCTATGGAAACATGAAGGATAGGACACATAAAGGTGAAGCCTGGCATGAAGATAAATTACGAATGAAAATAAATGGCAGAGGAGAGAGAAAAAGAAAGGCCCTAATGAGGAGGTAGCAAAGGCTGACATAAAATTTACATCCCATATTGATAAAAAATAAAGGCAGCCCTTGTCATACAGAGCTTAAACCGCCCTTCTGCTAGCCTCCTTTACGAATCGCAGCCTTCAAAACCACTGACCCTCAGATATGGTTCCTGGGAGTCCAAACAAGGGCAGTCATAGTCACCCACATCTGGAAGGGATGAGGTTTAAAGTCACAGACTAGGAGTATCTCAGTTCAGGTCTCCACGCCACCGCAGAGTGTTTGGGGCGAGGTTGTGTCTCTCTCCATCTGACTCATCTCACTAGACCGTTAGGAAAATGTTTCCAAA